TGTGTGCTGGTGCAAATGTTCACATTTTAACAGAAATGTTTTCCATACGTCTCAAACCTCCTCCCAGCGATGCTAACCCCAATGTGCTGAATAAATTCTCACTTGGCTGCCTCTCAGACCTAATATGCAGTGATAGCAGCTTTCACAGTGTGTCTTGGTTTTGGTGACACACATAAATCCACACATGTGCCCATCCGGTTTCCGTCTGCTCATTGTGTAATGTACAGATTAAATATACATTCACAAACATAGAGGCAAACGGCAAACAAGTCTGAGGTCCAGCTCCACCCCCTCCCCCTCTCTGTCTCTGTCTCTTCAGTCACGTGGAGCACGTCTCAGTGTGCACACATACATGCACGCATATTCAAACACACACACACACACACACGGCTGCTCCCTGCTATAAATACACACACGCTCCATACATAAAAAAGCCAACATAAATGAGTGATGCATTTCTCATGCAGTCGGTATAACTATTAAAAATTTAAGAGCAAAAAGAAACACGTTTAAACGAATAATCTGTGAATAAGACTCGTCCTAAACACTCGTCTGTCTTGGCAAATACATTCTTTTTAAGCCTGACGACGCTGATAGAAATTATTTTTGTGTTTTTTTTTTTATTAAAAACAGCCACACACAGTTTAGTACCTGCTTCTTAAACCCATGTATGGACCAAAGTGGGATGTTTGAAAAACAAAATCCAAATTATTGTGGAGATGTGTGACATTAATACTAATGCATGTCCTGCTCCTTCTCTTCCACTTTCCTGAGACATTCCTGTTGCTGGTTTTTAAGAAGAAAAACAGAGAGAAAGAACATGGGCAGCAGCAGTCGGCAGAGAAATACGAATGGATTTTTATTTTATTTTAAAAAAATAGAAAGTCTTTATTTCAGCGTTGTTTTTTTTTTTTTTTTTTTTTCATTCTGGTTCAGACAGGGGAGGAGACTTTGAACACACACAGACACCAGGAGACGGAGACAGTAACACCCTGTCTGTTTCTGAACCACATCCTGTTTTTGCTGTCAACTGGGTCAAGATCAAGGGAGAGATAACGCGTGCATTTATACATACGTACATGTACGTGTGTGCGCACGCACTTTTAGACAACAAGGTGGAACAGTTTCTTAATCACTTGGCCTAAAGATTATCCTCAAATTTGATCCAAATCACTGGGCCCTTATCCTTCCAGAATTACTTGATAAGCCTGATTGAAGTTTTTCTTGGGGATTTGGTAAGATATTAATGGGGTTAGATGCTGTGAGAGTACCTGCATCAGCCAACACACACACATAATCAAAGAAAGTAGAAGCCTTAATAGAGAGGTTTTAGTTAAAGTGGCTGCTTTCAAAAACACACACACAAGGGTGACAGTCAGCAAGATATGAGGGCTTTTAGTAGGCTTTTACAATAATTAAACACAAAATTAGAATGCTTGTGATTCGTTTTTACCTGCCTCGAATTTATAATGTGATGGTCTACTTTGTGTTCATTGTTTTTATACCAGAAGGACAAAGATGGGAACAAGTCTGACAGGTGGAGAGCAAGAGAAACAGGTGATAGGATAAAATAAAAGGCAGTCAGACTGTCAACACAGGGGAGTCTGAGAGGCAGCATACGACCGTCTCCTCCTCCCCTGTGACAAACACTTACACACACCTGTTCCTCCCCCTTTCTAAACAGAAACTGTTGAGCTATAAAACCACTTTGATAAGGATCAGCCAGACTAGTCAGACCCAAAGTATGTACACACACTCTCCCTCATACACACACACACACTCACACACACCTTAATTCCTAAGTTGTTTGGCCCAGGGCACATTTTCTTGCGTCATATGTGTACACCGTCTAGACAGGCATCACGCATGCAGAAGCACACACTGTTCTTTTGATTTCTTTGGTCCTGTCCTGTTTACATCACAAACACAGTAGTTTGAAACAAAGGGACTGAGTGAAGAAATAATTAACAGAAAAAAGAGAATTAAGGTACAAGAGTGATGTGTTGGAGGAACCCCTGCTGTAATACATACACTCATGTAGTACCTCAACCCTATTTTGCCATAATTTTATTTTGAAATAACAAAAGTAATTCAATATTATCGAAAAAGAAAAAAATATTATATTATTATATTATATTTCCCTTTAGCTTTCTGAGTGACTTTCCTATATGTAGCAACTCTACCATTATCACCAACGACTGTCTGCTCCTTTAGTACTGTTTCTTAATCGACATGTTTTACAGTCAAATCCCAGGTGACGATCTGTAGACTTCATTCACAGCAGTGTCCAGGCTATACTGTAATAATGCTTAATGACTGCGTCTTCTCAGACACAGACACAGCTTACTGTAACCTGAGACATTTATCTAAGACCATCAGTCATGTTTCTTCACCACAACACTAACTCTGCCTCCAGGCAAATACGTTGCTTTGAGAGAAAAAGAGAATTAGCTATGGGAGACATTTATGATGAATAATTTGTTTCTGTTTTCCTTTTCCATTGATCTAACCGAGGTCATTCTCTCCCGACATCACTTCACAGTCAGAAGGCTAAGATAAAATCTTGATTCATCAGGATGCATCACAAGGACAGACATAAAGTGATAAAGGCCTGTTTGTGGTCAGTGTTCGTCCTGTATACACACACACACACACACACACACACACACAAACACATTGAGTATGTCTGACATAGCGAGGGGCATTGAAAACCATTCATGTGCACAAGCATACTCTACATACTGTACGTGTGCAACTCTACCACAGCAACTTAATGTGTGTGTGCTCTCCTTTCCTTCACCACTGCCCCCCAGTGTGTTAATTACCAAAGCTGCTCAGGCTCACCTATGTGAGACAACTAGGTGACGAGACGTAGAAACGCAGGGCCAGGCACACAGACACAGAGATGCACCAACAAGTAAATAGACATTGCATCAAACAATCACTCAAAAAAAAAATCAAACAGTGCTGCACAACAGAGAAAATGTCGTAGGGATGAAAGTGCATCGCTCTTCAAGCAACACCTCTTTGTGCCACAGGAACACATAGAAATTGAGGCCAGTGGGTCTTTGTCTTCGGATCAACACACTCATATTTCAGCCTAATTTATTGTAATGTAAATGGTGTTGTTCCCCTCTCAAGAAAGGCGTTTGCTGCTGTGGCACACACCGGGAGGTAGGTTACTGGTTTAAATCATCAATTCAGAATATGCACATTGTCACAACATAAAACCCAGTGGAAAAGTATGGTTGTCTTTATGGGGAAATAAGCCTCGTGTTTGAATGGTTGAAACAACTGAGACTGCCTGGAGACAGGGGAGTGAGGGAACTGCAGAGAGGGTGAGCGTTGCTAAGCTGACTGAAAGCTGAGTGAGGCTATCAGCAAGCCAGAAATGCACTGCACTATCACTAAAGAGA